GAATTAGCGGAAAAAATGTTTTCTTTCTCATAGTATTGATGTCGCTACCGTTATTATTCTTATAGATCTTATTTGTTATTAAAATCTTGTTAATATTAAAGACAGTGAAGTAATATAAAATATCACTACTTTTGTCATTTTAAATTATCATTGTTATTTTCATAGCTGTTATTATTATTATTATTATTATTATTATTATCATTACTACTACTATTATTATTATTATTATTATTTTATTATTATCATTATTATTGATAAATTATTATAATCATCTTTATTAATTATTATCATTAATAATATCATTGTCATTATTACTATGACTGTTATTTTCATTATTACTATTATTTACTATTATTGTTGTTATTATTATAATTATTAATGTTATTATTATTATTGTTAATGCTATTGTTATTATTATTATTGTTGTTGTTATCATTTCATCATCATCACCATTATGATTTTCATTGTCATTATTGTTATTATTATTGTGATTATCATTATTACTATCATTATAATTAATTATTATTGTTGTTATTGTTTTTATTATTATTAATTCTTACAAATATCGTTCTTATTATTACTATCAATATAATTATCGTTATTGTTATTATTTTCATTGTTAATGTTATTTTTATCATTGCTATTATTGTCGCTATTATTATTATCATTGTTATGATTTTCATCGTTATTATAATTTTTACCATTGTTATTATTGTCGCTATTATTATCATTGCTATTATTGTCACTATTGTCATTATCGTTGCTTTTTTATGATCTCTATCAGTATTTTCAATATTATTACTAATAATATAATCATTATTATTATTATTAATATTATTATTATTATTATTATTATCATTATTGTTATTATTATCTTTATAATTGTTATTATCTTTATTATTGTTATTATTATGGTTAGTATTATTATTATCATCGTTATCATTATTTTCATATTATTATCTCTGTGATTATCATTGTTACCATTAGTATTGTTATTATTTTTATTATAGTTATTATTGCTATTATTGTTATTATTATTATTATTGTTATTGTTATTATTATTATAATTGATTTATTATTATTATTATTATAATTGATTTATTATTATTATTATTATAATTGATTTATTATTATTAGTAGTAGTAGTAGTAGGATTGTTATTATTTTTATTATTATTATTATTATCATTATCATTATTTTTTTTTTTTTATTATCATTACCATCATTTGTGTAGTTTTTGTGACCCCAACTCTTACCATTATCATTATGATTAAAACAGTTTTTATTGCTTGTTTTAATCACTATAATTTTACTCATATTTACATTTTTCTTCCTATTTTATTAACTTTTACAATATTATTGTCATTATTGTCTGTCTGCATGATATTACTATTATAGTGGATCATTTTACATTGATTTTTATTTTTTTCAAGTTATATATTTTTCTGATTGCCTTTTCATTTGTGGAGCAGTCGAGGATATAAAAATCACCTTTTCTTCTAAAAGTCCTTTTCTTTGAAGATTTAATTAGGTTTAACATATCAAAATAAATACATTCTAATACTATCATATTGCACTTCCAGCCAGACTTGCTTTGCATTGCACTTGTGAAGAAAAAAGATCAAACTCCTATTGCTTATTGTTGCCCTGATATATCAAAAGTCGATTCTATGGACATAAATCAAGAAAAAAACAATAACAACCCAAATTGCAAACGCTTGTAACCCATATTTACAGTCATATACCATTCTAAACAGCATCCTATATCTAATAATATAGTCAAAAACGTCATTTACTAATCTATTTTAAAGCTTGGAAGGGAGTGATAAAGCTACTGTGTCCTCCCATACCCATGGCGAAATGAAAAGTTCTACTGTATGTTTGTAGAGAATAAAATTGGAAGGAACTTCACATGTACCATATTTGTTTTTTCGTTAGAGAAAATCGAGAAACTCAAAGGGGTATATTATCTTATATAAACCAAATCGCTTTAAATGAGACCAAATCGACACAAAATATGATATACATATGTATTTGGGTATGGAAGGCTCAATATAAACTCTACGATAAGACACGAAGACTGAATTCCTTGTTCGCTTAAGCCACCCGGCTGTTACCTGGCGACCACCGCCTTGTTGGTCTCGACGTGATCTGGGGTCTCGCTTTCGTCACTGAGGAATATCACTTCATCCTCCTCTTCTTCCGTTTTTTGTCTGTCTACATCTTTTGGTTTTCCCTTTTCTTCTTCAACAATTGTTTTTCTTTCCTTATCCTCTTCAACGGTTATTCCTGATTCTCCTTCACATCTGTTTGAAGCTTTGATAAGATGTTGCACGGTGAACGAGGAAGAAGTGGACGGAGAAGGGAAGGAAGAAGAGGAGGATGAGGAAGATATGGAGGACGTGCGAAGATAACTGATACTAAATTTCCCATGAGATGAAGCTGGGTGTTGAGGAGAATGAAGAGGGCACGGAGAAGGAGGCGGAGAAGCGATGGAGGA